CACATATAATCCAGCTACTGTATATTCGTCTTATTAGAAAAAAATGTTGATATTTGCCATGCTTGTAAGAAGGAGCCCTATGAGCCATGATCAAATGCTTTGGACAGAGACCTGAATTGCTATTTCTCGTCTTTTAGTCTGAAAAGCTGAGGTAAAGATGTGACAGAGGCCAAAAATACAGTACACACCGGTGACACTCTTTTTGGAGGACATAGTTGGATGGACAGTCCTTTTTTTCTAAGTTAGGTACCCCTGCTTTAATGTGTTTTTTATAAATCTTTTTTTGCAATTTTTTTTATATTAGTTCAGAATGCAAAAAAATATGTTTGGATACTGCATACGTGAATATCAGGTACATCGGGAACTTTAAATTATAGGATGTTTTTAGTGAAAATAAATAATATGCTTTTGTATATCGAAAAAGTCCTTTGGTTTTGCCTGATGTGTATTATTTCCTGCTTGTGTAAACATTGCACAATTACACCAGGTGGTATGCAGTGGTGAACCCAAGCACATCTGAATTTCCACAATCCAAGAATAAAAATAAATAAATACATGGAAATCCTCTTTGACATCTCCTGCCAGTGCTCTTGAGTTGTCGGTGCCGAGCTTCTTTGGGGGTGGGCTTGTTTGTCATCATCTCTGACTGCTGCTGCTGCTGCTGCTGCTGATGTGACCCAGACAACAGCTTGTTACAACACACCACCTGTTTGTCCCCAAGCAACACACACGCACACCCACACAGACAGACACACACATGACATATCCATGCGCAAACGAACAGCAGGGCTGAACTGTCCTACTGTGTCAATAGAACCCTTTGTCCCCATGTCCCGTCCGCCTCGGGGCAGCAGCAGCAGCGGTGGACAGGTGCAGGCAAACAGATCTTTTTGAGCAGTGAAGTTGTGTAAGAGTGAGCCAGTTGTAGTGGGAAGAAGCTTGTGCAGTTTCAAAGTTTTGTTTGGTAATCGTGCAATACTGTGCAAGGGTTTTCCAATATGGCCGTCAGCTGATTTTTTTTATGACTCTGCGTGCGCTAATGAACGGATTATTGAAGCGGACTTATCTCGTTTGACTGGCTGTTCATGCAAGCCTATGTTTGAAGGTGATGATTTCTTGAGTCGACACAAACATCAATTACTACCGCTATTCATTCGTTCATCTTTTTATTGTGGACATGATGACAATACACAACATATTACAATTACATTTCAAATAATTGTCCTGTCAAACAAATGAGCAGAAAAAACAACACAAAAACATGCTATGTTTCCTGCTTCCTCCTCCTTTCCTAATCAAGTGCAAAACAAACGTTCTAAAAATATGTTTTTGATTAATAATTTAATATGATATCAGATCAGATTCAGATTTTGCCATTTGCAGTAAACTCACATTGGAATAAATGTGTAAAAGTACCCAGACACTTCTTGTTTTGTTATTTTCTTGAACATGCAGATATTTTCAGAGCTTTTCATTTCATTTTTGAGTGGATTCCACAGTTTTACTCCGACCACTGATTTTCCCATACTATTCAACTATTACTGTTTTACTTTCTGGACTAAGCTAAAGGTAAAAAACACAATGCTCACCTTCACTGTTAGCTTCCATGTCGGGACTCTATTTACCATTATGTTTTCACAATAAACTTGGGTCCTATAGATACTAAAACTTGATGGAGTCAAAATAATAAGTCAATAAATTCAACTCAGCGATAATAAAAAAAACATACTTGACAGGCTGCAGGGTCCGAAAAAAAAGTAACTGCGTATATAGCGCTTTGATGGGAAAGGCCTCCCTGAAAGTTATGAAATGAGTTCTTGTTGCGGTGAATAATTAGGGCTGTCCAGACGGAATGCTTTAGAAAGTGAAGAATAACTCTAGTCTGCTACCAGTGAAACTACTTTTAAGACATTGTTAATAAGGACTTTTTTTGATGAAACTCAATCAATGCCGGGAAATAAACCCGAAGCATTTCCCAACCCAAACTCAGCTCTGTGTTACATGCTGTATTTAATGCTTTAATGATGGCGTTCTTGTGTAGAGGCACTTGCACCGCCCATTGAGAAGCCCCCATCTCCGTCCTCTGTGTTACCTGCCAACAGCATCTGATTCACAGCTTTCAAAATCACTTACAAGGCGTCATTTACACCTTTCCATCTCTCCCTCACTTGGCATCATGTATATAGCATTGATTTAAGTTTGTGAGCCTGAATTGGACACACACTGTCAGAGGCGCCTGTCATTATTCCACCAGGAAACATGCAAACCCTGAATTACGCTGTTTTTGTTCTCTCTGTGGCTTTCTATTATCTGCTTGTGTCGCTGTGGTGTTAAAGTAATCGTCTGTCAAAGATGCTTAGGCCGGATGCAGTGGCAACTAGATGTACTTTTCAATTCCTAAAACTTTTTTGTGAAGCCCTGTTTTTAGTAACCATAGAAGTGGTAGTGTTAGCAGTAGTAGTAGAAGTAGTAGTAGTACACTGCAAAAAAGTGAAAATATAGACTAGTGTATTGTACTGATTTCACACTGTTTTGTTTTTTTTGACTTTTTACTTATGCATGCAAAAGATTCCTAAGATAATAATAGTAGGAGTAGGAGTAGTAGTGGTAGTAGCACACTGCAAAAAGTGAATATATAGTGTAGTGTGCTTGATTTCAATGTATCTGTTCCCTCATGCAGGCTGAAGATACCTGAGATAATGTAGTAGTAGTAGTAGTAGTAGTAGTAGCATTAGCAGTATTATTATTATTATTATTATTAGGTAGTAGTACACTGTAAAGAGTGAATATATAGACTAGTGTAGTTTTATTGATTTCAGTGTATATTTTTACTCATGCAGGTTGAAGATATAATGACTTGTTATAATATTTTTTGGGAGTATTGGTACCTTTTTTAAATTGAAGTGACAGAAAGGCATCTACTTTGTTCCTTTAATTCAACAAGTGTCTGTAGGTAAGTAACAAGTACAGTCAGTGAATACACATGACTATTCTACTCCTCTTTTGTTAAATAAAACATTTAAAACATAACTGTAATCCGTTATTTATGCTCCAAACACTATCTGTTACTTGCTGAATGGCGTGAGTAAAAATGATCACGTGTGTTTTCACCAGGATGCAGGCCTCAGTGACAGTTTGCCGGGTGGAGTCAATGCAAATTCTGAACTTATTTGTACTGGATTCATGTCTGCATATTTCCACAGAACACGGATGTTTGTGTTTTTTGCTTGAATTCTAATTGAAATTCTTTGCCAAGGACACAGTCATCCTCAACACGCCAATGCCATTCACATACCAAACTTAAAAACATAAAATCATCCCTGACATTGCTGCTGTCGTTTCTTCAATTCTTGACTTTTCAAAACAAACAGAGCTGATATTTGTGGACAAGTTTATTTTGTGGTTGAATTTATGAGTCACAGAAAAGAGTGACTTTCTAAAATGACTCACTATCTAACTTTTCTTAACTTGTATACACTATAACGTACATGTATATAATATTTGGAGTAAACTTCAAGATTGTTTTGTGCCAATAACCTTGATTAATATTATTTTATTATCACCCCTATCATGGAAATGTTATGTGGTTGCATCCGTATTATAGCTGAGGAAAACAATTCTGACCAACACTGTCATTGCGATCTGATTTAAAATGTTCTGCATGTAACAATGTTTTATTATTGCCACATAATCACATTTGAAAGGATTGGCTCAAGAAGGGATGAAAGTGTATTTACGTTGATTTGTCTGGCTTTTCAAAAAAAATACTTTGTAAAGAGCCAATTTGAAACCATTTTGATATTTTTTCTATTGTCACTCATTTGTTTTAGAAAATTAACTATTCAATTGTCCCAGCATTGGAAAATTCTCATAACCTACACAAATCAAGAGACATTTTCACAAATTAAACTTTTTTCTCGCTTATGTTTTGTCATTTTTTTATCTGCAAACAACTTTATCACAGCTATTAGCTATAGCTATTTCAATCACCTTGCCGTTTTATCCCAATCCTTTTGCACGTAGTGTGTAGAGAAGCTTGAATCCAGCTACACGTGGTGGTCTGTCACTACGGCCTGATGTGTAGGTGTATTTGAACTGGCTGGCTGTGGGCAGAGCTGGACACTTGCCTTTCTTCACAAAACCCCATTGATGGCAGCGACTCGTGAACCTCGGGCCAACTGCTCCCAGCTGCTGACAGTGCGACAGATGCAGCCCAGTTGACACAATAATGAGACATATCGGAATACATACACAAGATACTGGGCCAAATACTGGGAATCAGAGAGGCCATTGTACGATGTGTGTGTTTGCTCGTGGGATTTGTGGTGGATTAGAGTGAGTGTATGCCCGACTATTTTATTGTCTGTTGTTCTATGGCAAGTTTGTGGGTTTGTCACTTTTTTGGGTTTGCGAGTTTGATAGTCCAGGTTGAGTAACTTTTAACTTTTAGACTGGAGGTTGGTGTTTCTCAAAGTGTGGTTATATGCAAGCTTGATCCAGTGGTATGCATGGTGCTAAGTCTTATAATATCCACATTTACTTTCCTCTTCTTAGTAAGTTTTTAGCTTAGTTCTACAGAAGGACAACACCAGTTCTTAATAGTTATTGCGTTATTGCTTGATACAAAGTGAAAACAATTAGGATTTGATAATTGGATGTAAAATAACTGAACCACAGACACATAACTATCTAAGCTCTTGAGCAGGACAGGAAATCTCTGCTGGACATTGAGCATAACCAACCAAGATGTCCTATTGCAGACATGAAATACACTATTCTTCAGAGAGCTTTGTGGAAAGATTGACATTGACTTTGGAAAGAGAAACTACAATCATATTTTTTCCATGTATTTTTGGCAATTAAATATCCCCTCTCAATGCTGTTATTATAATAAAACTCAAATGTTGCTTGGCTTGGTTTGGTTAACCACTGCATTGCATACTATTCATTTTCTGAAACAACACATTCTAAGTTAGTTTTGTCTCCCTCTTGTTGCCTAGGTGACCCAGGTGCCGGTGGAGTCGTGTGAGCAATACAGCACATGTGGAGAATGCCTGAGCTCGGGGGACCCCCACTGTGGCTGGTGTGTCCTCCACAACATGTGAGTACCCCCAACCATATCTGCATTGTACATGTAATATTATAATGCATTGGTTTTATATAGAGCTTTTTGCACACTAAAAGACCACTTAGTCACACAGGAAAATTAGAATATTGTTTAAAAATGTATTTACTTTGATTTGACACTGTATTTGTGTAAGGATGATCCTTTTATCAGCTTGCATAAAGAAAAAAACATTTGGAAAGTTTTACATTATTAAGGGCTTTCTTTAGTGCTCACGTGCTAAAGCTTGTTTTTAGAGAGATGTCCGACCGATTGATGGCTCTGCTACATTTGCATGAAAAGTGATTACCCCCTAAAATTGAAGCATGTCTTTTTGAACTACACCCACAGTTTATCACCTGGATTGATAATGAGACCCTACAAGTTCTTCTGTTGTCCTTACATAACTTCAATTCAACTTTTTTTCTTCTTCATGGAAACGGAATGGCTTGTTCTTCTACTTTAAGTCCAATAGCTTGCAAGATTGAACGACTGCTACATTCACAACTATTGCTATTATTAACCTAACCCTAACAGCTACTGCTATCACTACTGCCCCAGTGGACCTTAAAGACTTAAGTATTCATAGAGGTCAATGTCTCAAGTTGAACCCTTGGGAATGTATACCAGGCAATGTTTTCTTCAAATATCCTCAGGGCTCATCTGAATCCACTTAAAACTTTAGTCAAAACATTGCCTTGAAGCTCTGAGTGACACCTGCTGGAGCCTGCAAGCCACTACAAACCTTTTTAATAGACACTATACACCTAACATTGTTTAAATTGTCACTTTCATTCCCAGCTGCCAGTAAAGATACATTTGAGATATGTAAATTGAACCAGGGGCATGGTGTAGAATCGCCTCCTATCAAAAGTAATTGATCCATCCCTTTTTCTTTGAGCCTCAATCACTTACATTCCCTGGTTGTGTTTTTCTTTTTAACGATTGTGCCTCGATCTTCGCACTTTAGGGACCTCTCTAAACGCAGCCGCTCTGTCTATAGGTGCGGCAGGAATATTTGTGTGTGTCAGAGCGCAGTCGCAATCATCATTACTGTGATGGCGGGCCCTGGCAAAGTGCACTTAAAGTAATTTACATCACTCCAAAAAGCTGGGACAGGACAAATAATTGCCTAGCGACAAGGTAATTCAACGTGAGGCAGGGGGGGACGGAGGGGGGCACTCAACAGTCGGCACGTCTTCACGTTTACCCGAGCGGGCGCCATGTTGGGTCTTAATCATATGCTTTTGTGTAGGCGGCAGTGGAGAAGGAGGCAGGTGGTGTAGTTCAAGGGGATGTTGTGGTAGAAAGTGATTGGATGGAGATTTTCCGGTTATTTTGTGAAAGCTGGCGCAGAATATTGTTTTAAGGATCGGCTGTTCATAACAGTGGGGAGTGGTCTGGCACAGAAGATATAATTGCTGGTTCAAACAGTGAGCGGAAGAGGGTTATATTGTGTCTAACTATTCCAAAATATTATCATCTCCATCTAACTCAATGCTATATTTGTCCCATTTAAACAACTATTTTATTGTTCAATTATTGAGCCTTTTTTAACCAGGAAAAGATGATTAAGTACCTAAAAGTGAACCTTACCAATAGTTGGCTTGAATATAAAAGTAATCAAGTATTGGAGGCCATAGAGTAAATTAGGAGTTACACAATTGTTCTAAAAACGTGAATAGAAAAACATGTATCTAAAAAAAACTAGTATATTTACAATTTTTGGTTGATTTATCGACTGAACACTTAAAAAAACGACCATTTTGCATGTCTCATTAGATGTGTCCTTTAATATTGAAATAAGCCAATTCTTGTTCAATTAGCAAAAAAAACCTTTTTTAACATTATCTCCCAGTGTTACATTTTCAATAAATATGGTACTCATGTTGAATCATCATTACAATGTAATCACCACAATAGAGTTGGAAATGAGGAAACAAGTACAAAGACAGTCGCTGGCTCATTTCTAAACCATGAAACCGCCTGCTGGGACATGACAGTTTTGTTTTTCATACACACAGTAACAGTTCGAGACCCCTGCACTGTACCGCGAGGTGGAAGTTCAGCTCCGCGATTCAAGTCACTAAGTCCATCTGCCGAGCGAACCCCAGGACCCCGCCACCTGCCTCTGCTTCGACCCTTCTCTGTTTTCACGCGCTGCTTTCACCTCTGTCAAAACTCAAAAGAACTTACTTAGGCCAGACTCTAAAGACGGCTGAACTCGCTTGGGATGGGGGGCAATGTCTAGCTGTGCGAATTTGCAAGCGATTAAAAATAAGCATAACAATAAAGATACTGTATAGAATGAACCCGACACACTATATATCTTGCCTATTTGAAGAAACTAAAGCATTTTTATAGTAATTACTCATAGACTTTATACAAATGGACAATGCTAACCCACTAGCTCAAAGAAGCCCAATATGGAAGTGCTCATGGACGTAGTATTTGCTCCAACTCCCTCTCGCTCCTATTGACTTACATTGAAAGTTAAACTCCTGATTTATCTTTTTGAGAGTGACTTTTATAAATCCAGATATCAGCCATAGCATTGACCAATCAGATGCCTTTATTCAATCGGAACAAATGCCCATATAAGGAAATTGAATGTGCAAATCAGCTTCTTCAGCATTCGGTCAATCCACTCCTAATATACTCCTAACATGTAATTGCCACCAATGCGTTTCTTGTATAGATATTTTTTATTGGCTTGAAGAGCGCAATGATTGTACTACAGAAAATGAAAAGTGCTGGAAGGCATTTTATTTTGATTGGACTGTAATATTTTCACTGCGTTAAAACAATATTTGCAAATGGAACAAGCACACAATGTCTTGTTTTAAATTAAAACCAAGTCGAGCGTTTTCTCCCTTGTGAATGAGAGCCCATGCTTGTAATGTGACTAAAGCTTCTTGTTCCGTTGGTAAATCCAGTTTAAAGACTACTACCTACTACAACTAAAAAAGTCTGTATGAATGCAGTGGATAATGCAAATATATATATATATATATATATATATATATATATATATATAATGCAGTTACACATAAAATACCTCTATTGCATATTTCCGTCTTTTTGCACAGCCCTGAGTGATCCTATTTATGCCAAATATGACATGTACATCTATCCATTGCGAGATCAATTAAAACTTATCTCATGTTTATATCAATATAAATAATTACAAACACACCCACACACACACACACACACACACACAACCCGTCACTTCAAACATTGTCAATATTATTTTTGTCTCTTTCTATTGATGGTCCATTCTGTCCATTCATTTCATAATATCCAAACTATACTGTTCAATTCTATCAAACTCTCCTTTCCAATCATATCCACACATCCATCCCATTAATTCTTCTTTGCATTTGAACCGCTTATTTCCCACATTTTCATCATTCACCAGAGCCAAAGTGGATTTTATCACATTACATCTGCTGTGTGTGTTTCTCATGTTGCGTGTTCCATTTTTTTTTTTCACTCTTCTGAGAATCTAAGGAGCGCCATTCAAATGATCGCTCTCTGTCTGTCTTCTTTATTTTCTACTGTCTACAGTCGTCCTGCTCTTCTCCACACTGCAAGAGAAACAGATGCCTGTCACTAGAGTCCGCAATACTTCACATGTCATCGCCAGATGGACGAAGGAGTGGTTGACGTATCACCATTGTCACCGTCAACTCAAAACTAACAGATCATTTATTAACTCGATGTTGGCAAAAACTTTCAGATAATAATATCCATACCCATCTGATACTTTGACCATAGCCTCAATCCCACTGGAACACAGGGATTTCAGCCAAAAACCCCAGATCACCTCTTGCATTGTACAAGAGCGATAAATTAAGGCTGGCATATCCTAAGCGTCTCGGCCTAGTCTTTTTTGGCGAAGCGAGTTCAATGTGGCAAAATATGATTCTCTGAAGACAACGAGCAGAGATTGTGGCAGTAAAGTGTGTATAAAAAAAATTAAAAATGAAGGAATTAAGAAGATAAAAAGTTCAGGAAGACAAGGGACACTAAAATCCCCACAAAATGCGACCTTTATGAAAGCTGTAATTTCTCTGTCAGCTGAGGTCGAGCTGTTTTAGTTTACATTGAGATCTATGGGACTTTCTTCTGGGTAGCCCTCGTGAATTTAGACTGCAGTACCACGGGCGCCCCCTGTGCCATTGGTGGGACAGCTATAAGCTAGTAATACCCTATCCAGATATTATTATAGATCCAAGAGTGAACCTCTTACCATCAACATTTGCTCTTTCCTTTATAAAGTTGTCCATGTTTAGATTGCTCCATCTGGATGATACCTTTCCCATAGTCCATTATCATGTGATTCCCTGGGGTCCTGATGGGTTCACTGCGCTCTGACTTTAGAATACTTATGTTAAATTTGGAAAAATGGTTTTTACCCATTTATTTTTGACTCGTTCCCTGTAGTGATAAGGTGACAAGGGTCCAAACAAACTGCTAACCTTTCCTACCACTGTCCCGGGTGCATTTCAACACGTGTCATGGGTAATACCTCATTATACACGGGTATGATTTAAGATTTTTTAGATTTTTTAGATTTTTTTTAGACAATTAACAGATCTATCAAGATGATGAAAAAAATGGCAACTCATAATGTGAATGCTGTTCTCTTCTCGTTTGTATTTTACCAAGACTTGTGTCCCCCTCCCACAGCTGCTTCATTCACTCACTCAAATCTGAATCTCGTGTGAATTACCCACATCGTAAGTGTATATGAATAGAGAATCCAAAAGCTTGTGGTGATATGCATGGAGCTGAACATTATTCGAATTGTGCGCCATGACTTTGTTTTGTGATATTATATTATGTTCTATGTATTTCTGCTCTCGTCCAGGTTTATTCCATGGTTAATCCCACTTGAAATACTCATCCCTACTTATATGCTCCCTTTTATTCTCCCTATTCTCCCCTCCTATGTCTTTGGATTACCATGCGTAAACAACAGTCCTACTTTG